TACACATCGTCGGTCAACGACCGCAGTGTTCTTTGATCTGAAAGGATTCTTCGATTCAGTTGACCGTGAAGATCTTATGGGGTCGCTGCTTCGCAAAGGAATTCCACGGAAGTATGTAAACCTATTGCGATCGCTGTACCTGCGCAGTGGTTTAGTCGCTGTCACCGGTGTGCTTTAAACCATGTTGTCCGAGGTTCGAGCCCCGTTACCCGACTTTGGTGGTGGGCAGCTCTGCTGTCATCCGGTTCAATACCTCGCCTAACCTATCACTCCAAGTCCCGGTTGCCGGATTCCACCACTGAACAGCAGGTTCTCGTGACTATGGGGTTTGCCCCGTCCGCCGTTCATCACACTTAGGTATGTAATAAAAGAAACTTCTGGTAGCGCAAGGGTCTACGGTGCACTAAATAAATCGTTCGAAACCAAAAGTGGTGTTCGTCAATGGTGCCCTATTTCACCATTCCTGTTCATTTTTGTCGTAGACGAAGAGAACGCACTTAGTGGTCTCCCAAATGTTGGTATTGAATGGGCAGCTGGAGAAAAGCTGTGCGACTTGGAGTACGTTGGCGACATCGTTTGCCTATCCGCATGTATGGAGGATGCGCAAAGCGCTCTTGACAAATTTTCAAGTTCTGTGACTTCATTCGACATGCGCTTTGCACTTTCAAAGTACAAAGTGGTGCTGCAAGGTTGGATGTCGTCTACCCCGGCGCTGCTGCTTGATGGTTAAGAATTGGCTGTAGTGGATTGTTTCTCTTACCTAAGTCATGGTGTGAATAATGACGGTAGCATGATCAGGCAAGTAACTGACTGCATTTCTATAGAACGAGCACCTCACAAGACCCTTGGTGCAGACGCGATGTTTCGTTGGAACTGAAAGGTCGTGTGTACTGCCCCATAGTGCGGTCAGTTCTGCTTTAGGGTTGCGAGACCCCTGATTTGCGCGTGGAAGATATTCGTCGTCTAGAAGTCTTCGACCGCCGATGTTTACGTAGTTTCGTGCGGGTTGGATGGTGCAAGCGTGTAACTCTGGGGTAAGGCTTTGCGTATTTGATAATGATTCGATGGAGAATTCGTTATACCATTGAATTCAGACTGGTCGGNGCCCGTTAGGGCACATATTGCGCATGCCCAGCCATCGTCTACCGCACCGCGCCTTATTCGCAGTTGCAGCTCCAGTTTAGAAGAAACCACGCGGAGGTCAACAGATGACTTTGAAAGGTAACATGAAGAAATGCACAAAGCGACTAGATAGAATAGGTGTCTCCCGTCTTCCGGGTTGGGGTCCAAAAGACTGCAACTGATTGGTTGGAGACACTGAAGGATATGGCAACTAACCGACGGCAGTGGCGTTCTTGTTGTCATTTCTTATCAGGTCAGAATGCTTGAAAAGGTATATATGCACACTTAGGTTGTGAACTCCGTGCGTTGACCATAGACGTTCACTTTCTTTGCCTCCCTCCAGTTAGGCCCCGTCCCTCTCCATCTTATGCTTTATCCTTTGATTTATGTACATTGTGAGCTCGGCAGCGATCGATGAAATACGCTTCACTGTATCTCGCTTTACGATGATGATGAGCATGATTTCCAGCTAAAAATACACGAGGTTTTATTATTCGTACTACTATTCCAACCACTGAACAGCAGGTCCTCGTGACTATGGGGTTTACCCCGTCTGCTGTTCATCAAACCTAGATGTGTAATAAAAAAATTTTGTTGTGGTATCTTATTTTCTTTTCTGTTTCTCTTCAGTCGTTCCTGTCCCATCGCCTTGAAATACCCTCGAATTCTCCAACTGGATTGTCATTTACCACAAGTGCTCTTCTCAATGATCAGCGGAGCAACTCGTTCAGGCGGAGGCTTTTCCACATGGAGTCAAGTAGCTACTTCGCTGTTCCGTAGTGGTACTAGTTCGGCTTCCTACTCTAACCCATGGTCTGTTGATGGTGATGATCATAGTGTGTTTGACCAACAAACGATAGAAACATGTTACAAGTGGTTAGACCGTGTGGTTCGTTTATGTCAAAATCCTCGGTTGAATCTGAAAAATAGTCCGCCTTATTTATTGGACACGATTCCGGACGTTTACGAAAAACTCAAAAGTATTATCAGCAGTTATTCAGACGAGTATAAAACCCTTTCTCAGTTGGAGTATTTTTGCGTCTTTGTGCACTCTGTGACAGACAAGTGTAAACGTACAGTGAAATTGTTCAAGGATTCAGGAGAAAAAATTTATGACGTTCATTCACATGCTCGATTTCGTCTGGTCAAATTGTCTTTGATTTTCTCACATCTGCTCAAAGACCTCGAAGCTCTTTTCCCACAAAACACTTTTTGTCCCGGATTTCGTATCACCAAACCAGATGCCGCACGTTGGTGGTCTAGTAATTTCGGTTCGTCTGTGATTGTACCCTGGCCTGTTTTTCAGACGGCACTTCTTCGAACATTCCGTGTTGATTCCGCTGATCAACTGATCGCTTTGCGAAACACCATTGATCTAACCTATAATAAATATGTGTCTATTTTTGAGTTTGACGTGTTTATACGTCTGTTCCAGCCGTGGAGCAACATACTGGAGACGTGGAAAGCTTTGGCTGTTCTACATCCAGGCTATATGGCATTTATGACGTATGATGAAGTGAAAGCAAAGCTAAAACAGTATCGATCACATCCTGGTCCGGGAACGTACGTTTTTCGCTTATCTTGTACAAAACTGGGTCAGTGGGCGATTGGTTATATCACGGACGACTTGAAAATATTGCAAACAATAATTCAGAACAAATCTTTGGCTCAAGCTCTGTTAGATGGAGAACGAGAAGGTTTCTATTTGTATCCAAACGGGAAATCTAGTCCGTCATCACTGTTGTATCAACTCGTGCATGACCTACCGCAGGTGCGTCTTCAAGTTACCCAAGAGCAATATCAAGTCTACTGCGAAATGGGCTCTACATTCGAACTGTGTAAAATATGCGACGAGAATAATAAAGATGTGCAATTGGAACCTTGTGGCCATTTGATTTGTAAGCACTGTTTACTCAATTGTCGTTCAGCTGGCTATAGCCAAACGTGCCCCTTTTGTCGTTTGGAAATCAAGGGGATTGAGGATGTAATTGTGGATCCTTACCGCCCTGGATTGAGCCACAAAAACAGTATCTATGATTCGTTTCATGCTTCGGACTCAGGCAGCAATCAGTTATGCGAGATCCCTGGCAACCCTTCAAAATCAGGCGGGTCTCTAGGATGCAATGATTCATGTTCCTCACATTCATCTGCTCCACCGTCCCCAACTGTTACTCCATCGTCGTCTTCACTCATAACGCACCCATTTCCCGTACCACCCAGGAACCCATCTTCCGTCTGCTCTCTCTCCCTTCCCAATAGTTTNAGCACAGCCATGGTTGCGTTCATCTATCCACAGAAGCAGTACATGACGTCAGGATGAGCCGGGACGTAGACCACACACACATTCCTGCACACTCAAATTCCTCGAGTTCTTTAGTACATTCCATTCTATCATCTCCATTGCAAACAGTACCGCAGACAGATTCGCATCAAACAATCGATGCTAGCTGGCGAGTTGATGCTTCTGATCACGTTACTAGTGTAGTTAACGAAACTGTCTTGTCCTCAGTTCAAGCGAACTCTCCTCTCTTTGATCGAAGCCGCGATGATACTTTCCGGCGCCTTAATTACGCTCAACTTGATTTAAACTCGTCGGAATCGGATCCGGAAATCACTACAGCGGACACAGTAGTAGAGCGTACACCAACGATAAACACAGCTCAAAGCAAGTTAGATCCGTCACGTTCAAACAACCAACAAGCACGGTTTAATCTATCGATTTGGTCCTCCGAAGATGCCGGTCAACTGACTTCAGACTTGGTGCCTACTAATTGCGAGTTAGTAGAAGACAGTTTAAATCAGTCATTAACTGCAGCACCAGCACTTGTCACTCGTCTGACGCGACAACACGCAGATTTAGACGAAGCGACAGCCGGCCTACTACTATCAATTACGCGCAATGACTTGACCATGGCTTGTCTAATCTGGAAACACTTCATGCCTCGAACTGGATCCAATTGATGATGTATCCGAACCTGATTAATACTTTAAGGAAGTGCATTAGCTACCACCCTGCATATCTTGTTTTTCTTCGTCCCTTCGTTTCCTTCTCTTTTTAACTGATGAACTTTGTTTGTAAGTCTAACTCCAAAAGCTCCCAGATGCATTCAGCTTTGCCTGCTTTTGATGTCCTTCCCCCTTCATATTGTCCGTTTTCTCCACATCCGCTTTAATTGTCCCCTTCTGGCTACTCACTACGAATACCATTTTCAGGTGATCATACGAATGTCATATCGCTCCAAACGATCAGTTATTGCAATCTGACACGTCAGAGCAAATAGCTTGTTGTCTTTAAGACCGACTTTGTACTATTATCTTGTGTACACGTATTTTTGCTCCCCATCGCCTTTTTTGTCCGCCTCCGTTCCACCACTGCACTCAAGTCGCGTAAGAGTTGCTTAAAATACTCATTTTTGTACAGAATAACTACGCGAGCCGAATATTTTACCAGAATGATTGGAAGGTGTAACAATGTGACCTTGTTTTGGCTGTTATTGTTTCATTTATCTTTGCATTTCCACTTTTCGTTGATGCTTTTTTTTATCTAGCTATAATTTGTTTTGCTCCAATGATAGAACCTTTATGAATTCAAGCCGTCATATTGTGAACTGTTTGTTCTGGTAGTATTGCCTTGATGTCGCGAGCTACCTCTATCCAATAACATATTCCCATCTATGGTTGTTACACGAGTATGTGCTGCAGGATTGCAGTAGAGTCGTTGCCCCTAGAGAGAGTAACGCTTCGTTGCGAAGGACAAGGGATGTTGTTTGACGTTTTATGGAAGTTATAGTGCATGAAGACATTAGGTAGAGTATATCTCTTCCAGACTGGGATTCAAAATCCTATCTGACGGACAGCATTGTGCAGCGAAACACAGTGAAGTGAACTTCACTGATCGCTGCTAAAGTCGCAATGCATACAAAGTTGATGGTAATATATAAAGTGGACAGCCATTAAATCTATTTTGAGAGAGAGGTAACAAGGTGAACCTCTATGGTCAAAGCAGACGTATTGGTTAGGTACATAAACAATACAATGAGCTAAAGCAGATGCATTCTTAGTGTTCTTCTTTTCAGACCGAATTGTTTGAATGGGGGTGTGTGCACAGTCAGAATGTGCTGACCACAGTGGTCCACTTTTTTTATCCCCTCCCTACTCTGGCTCATGCCTTATCCATATTATAAACTCCGAAAATTGATGGCGATCAGCGAAATTCTCTTCGGCAGGAAATGCATACCTGTCACAAATGCTTATGATACTTTTTCTGAAGGTCTTTTGGAGGACAATCTGGGTGATTTCAGCCGTTATTAAAGTGAGATATACCTTCGGGCCACGGGGGAATGTACCTCTAATCATTGGAGCCCTATATATACCCAAACCAGCCGCATTAAGCCGTATGGAATTTGCTTCACAGCGAACTGGTTATGGAATCCCGTTTGATGTCTTTGGATGTAATTCTTATCTACATTTGTCGTATTTTTTGATGGTGCACACAATATTGTACCAATGTACAATTGTATTGTACCAATGTTTCCTTTTCAACTTTGTCATAGAGGATGTTCTGCAGAACGCTTTGTCCGGTCTAGCAAACGGTGGGGTTGAACTCCTCCCAGGGAACAGAGTTCTTGACTTGGAATATGCCGATGACATCGCCTTGCTGGGTGACAACTCACAGGCAGTCCAAGAGGCTCTGAACCGCTTGGCGATCGAGGTATCCAGATATGGTATGTGCTTTGCACCTTCCAAATGCAAAGTTCTTGTTCAAAACTGGCAGGAGCCTGTGCCTGCACTCACCCTCTGTGGTGATCAGCTGGAAGTAGTTGAGAGCTTTAAGTACCTCGGGAGCTTGATCGCAGCTGGTGGTGGTGTTGGGGACGAGATCACATCACGAATAGCGAAAGCTAGAGCAGCTTTCGCCAACCTGCGACACCTGTGGCGCCGCCATGACATCCGATTGTCCCTTAAGGGAAGGGTGTATATCGCCGCAGTTCGTAGCGTTCTGCTTTACGGTTGCGAGACCTGGCCTCTCCGAGCGGAGGATGCTAATCGACTTTCTGTGTTTGACCACCGATGTCTCCGAAGCATTGCTCGTGTCTGGTGGGAACACCGGGTGAGCAATGACGAGGTCCGTCGTCGTGTGCTTGGTGCAGATAGTCGCCCTCTAACAGAAGTAATCGCTCTACACCGCCTCCGATGGCTGGGTCACGTATTGCGTATGCCTGCCCATCGACTTCCTTTCCGTGCTCTCTTTGCACGTGCCGGGCAAGGCTGGAAGAAGCGGCGCGGCGGTCAGACCATGACATGGGCTAGAGGCATGAAGAAGCTGGCTTCAGCTTTGGCTTCGGTTGGTGCAGCCCGCCTTCCAGGTTGGGGCCCAAGGGATGAGGATTGTCTAGAGACGCTGAGAGATATGGCGCAGAATAGAAGTCAGTGGCGCGAATGCTGTACGATCTGTCTATCGAAATCCCGTGCCCATTAAGAAAACCGAAACATCAAACAACAAAAAAATTGCAAAAGGTGTACGGTGAAACACACAAAAAATTCTGTTATCTTGTATTTTCCATGTTTAACTGTCTCACCCACTTTTCACCATGTTCTGTATCCTAATCCACCTATCCCCTTTCACTGTCGTTGTTGTTGCGTTGGCACCATGCTTGTTTTCAAGCCGGTGGTAAATATATATTGTACCAATGTACAATTAATTTCACTCGTCTTAGTCCAGACTGTATACCAAATCAAGCACGGTACAATGGTCTTCATAAAAAGAAGATTCCATGAGTTGCTCATGGGCGTGATACTGCTAGGTTGCCCAGGGTACAGAGAGTGCATTTTCTGATGGAATTCACAACCGAAACCGTTCACTAGCCAAAGTCTGACCCGCGGACAGCGGGCCGTGTGTGAAAACAGCAATCCATTTGGTTCCGGCTCATCGTATCAGTTGCCCTTTGGACGGGGTCAAAAGTCGGTACCCAATACACCTCCATGCCCCGTCGAGCTGGCGACCACTACCACAACCACGAAGGTGTATGCTTCTTAAGACTTTTCTTGGTTTGTTTGGGATCAGGGTTTTTAATCAATTCCCTTCGGTGAATTTTCAGTAGTTCATTGACCCGAATACAGCCACGGATATTGGTTCTTCTACTTTATTGGGATGACACCTCCGATACGGTAAGCTGGAAGTAGGACTTCCTCAGCAGATGCTATTTAAGATGCCTGGTCGTATGGAAGCAATGCTCGAGGTGCAAGAGAGGCGACCAACCATAACCCGAACCTCCACCCCGACCATACAGAGGCATTCGTAGGCACATGCTATCTTGAAGTTTGACTCACGCATCCAGCAAGTTAGAGTTCCAGGGTTTTTGTATTATTGCTGCCCGACGGACCATAACGAACAGCTGATCCTATAACATGAGGAATGACAACGTGATCATCAGAACGCAATAATGTATTGGAAGTATTCGACAGCCAGTCATGCCGAAAAAGGACGGACATGTACAGTTTTCATTGACTGAAAGCCCACGACGTAGAGCTAAAATAACAAGTGTAGAATATTTATGGCATGCTAGTAGTCTAGGTTTTGGTCTGATTATTTGGTAATTTTCGTTGTGTACCAAACAAAATACCCATGAATTGAAGTGCTAAAAAGCGCTTCTTCATCATGATCATCATCGCTGTTTCTGTTGCAGTAGAGTTCACCAGATTGTGATGTTTCCAGGGGACCTCCAAGTTTTTCGTATGTTATTCTGACAGTCTTGTTTAAAGTCACGATTTTTTTCCGAATAAGCACAGGAAGTGCTGTTTCTTTCCCACATTCTATATGCTTTCTCGCTAGAAACCAAATTTCAAGCATTCTACATTATCTTCCTGCACCTGCTAACTCAGACCATTAAGGAAATCGAAACTATCTGATGGATTTACGTTTTCAGTTGGTACAACCATTACCATACACCTTCGTGTGCCGGTTTTGGTTGCTGTCTTTGGAAAGTTAAAAGTACAGTCGAAATGAAAATGGAGAATTTCCGTGGACCAAGGATGCAAGGGAATTAAGAAGATGCACGGGTGCCACTGTTTACGACGCTCAGCCATATCACTCGATGTCTCTAATCACCGGATACCAAGATCTCGTGGTTCCCATCCAGGGAGCTCAATCTCCTGGTTTTAATATCCTCGTACCACGTCTTATTTAGACCGACCTTGGCTTTTCCCGCCCACTAACGTGCGTAACATGCCTCAACTAACAATTTATAGAGGTCGACCATTTGTTCCAGTGGACGACCGTGGTTACCGAAAACTCAGCATTGCTTTTACGGCTTCCCCGCCAGATTCGTGCGGTGCTGCGTAGACAGCGATGTTCGAACACCGACAGTCTATCTTGTTTTCCTAATGGTAAAGTTTCTGCGCTGTATAGCAGAACTGGCCGAACTGTCGTGAATTTACGCATGAATGTATTATTAAACTGGTTAAGTCAACCGTATCAAAACAGAAGAATGAGGTCCTTGCCTAGGTTTTATTTAACAAACAATTTACATATGATAGCTGAAACACAAGAAACAGAATGTCAATTGAAAGTAATCGAGATGCACCGTTATATAGTACATTCTCCAATTTAAATAGATGAGGGAGTAACGTACACGAAGTTTAGATTCTCAGTCCTTTTCTTTTTTATTTTACTTCCTTTTATTGAATATACAAAGATACAATTTTCAGGAAGGGGAAAGCGGCCAATCGGAGGGCTGCCATACAACACACAAATGGGGAAAGTCAGGCGGTGGTGGTGGGATTCAAACACTCGTCCTCCGGGATGATAATTGGTGACGTTACCACCGGGCCACCACCGCTCGGTTGATTGGTTGAAAAGAGATTGCAGATTTGAGGCACAAATATTGTTCACTTTTGTGATATGGAGTAGGGCAGTACGCGGTTGGATTATTTACTGATGTAGGTTAGTGCAGTTTGGTGTG